ATTATAGATTTTTGGGGCAAGAGATGTAGCTCACTCCGCTAATTTCCAGATGTGGGAAGTTTGTCTATCGGAGTAAAAGTATGAGAGTACTTCAAAAAACTCATAGAAAATGGAATTAAAAGGTAAGTTCATTTGTACAAAAATACATATGCAAGTTCTTTGTAGAGATCATAGGAAGTGTGTATTGTGAGAAAACTGTGCATGAGTTTCCAAAAACGTATCACTTAGTTCCATTTTTCCATGAACTTTTAAAAGGACCCTCATACAATGAAATGCTGGCTTGCATATTGTCGGTACTTACTGCACTGGAACCATGGAGATGGGCCATATTCTGTAGACATAGCACAAATTTAGCCTGTCCACTTCCTTCCAAGGCAGTTTAGAGAAATTATAGGAGGCACTGTGAAAAACTTGGTAAACATGAAGCACTTTGTTGCTTCTAAACCCAAATGACATTCGTTTATGGCTTTGGCTGGGAGACTGACTGACTTCTCTCTAAAATGCAATGGTATTTTGTTTTTTCATAGTTTCTCTTTCTGAAAGATTTTTTTTTTTGTGAAAAATACTTATCAGTGGTAAGTTGTAAGTTAAAAATAGCTAGCTTGTCGGGTGGGGTGGGGGCAGGAGTCCACCAGATCTGCTGAAGCTGGAGTGAATTTTATAGCGGAGGAGCTGGAGACACTCAGTGAATTAAATTCAACCCATACAGCGTGGGGCAAGGAATGTGTGCTTAATGTCACAACGATTTGCATATGACCTTAGCCTAGGGTGGGCCTCCTTGAAACAGTGTGAAATGCGTCTGCGAGGTGTGCTGGGGCAGGAACTGCCAGCTGTGTGTTATTTTTGGGTCTCTGGCTGCCACAAGTCCTGCCAACTAAATTAAAGTTGGTCAGACACATGTCACTGCAAATATGCTCATTACTTTAATGAGAATCATTTGGCTTTCTTCAAATGTGGGCCTGGTTCTGTTTTTGAGAGAGGATCAAGGGCGTTTTGCTATAATCCTCCGCTTTTCATAGCCCAATTGCTCGCGTTAATGAAAATTCTCCTTTTCTTTTAATAAGTAGCGAAAAGGACTGGGGAGATGAAGCTGCTAACGTTTGTAGAACACAAGGAAATGAATGAAAGTGCAGCATTCACACCAATAGGCCAAATCTCATGTGTCTTCTTGAAAAAAAGCATAGACTTTAAAATAAGGATGTTGAATTTGTTATGGTCAGTTTGTGTTTTAAAATTGTTGTGGATGCAAAACTTGCCAATACAGTCTGAGAAAACTTCAGAATACTTCAAAAAGCTCATGGAAACATGAACTCGATAGAAGTTCATTTTAGTGCAAAAAATTGAAATCCATGCATAATTTTTTTATAATATACATTCTCCATTAGATTAAAAATATTTATGTGAGAGAGAGAAAGAAAGGAAGAAAGGAAAGAAGGAAAGAAGGAAAGAAGGAAAGAAGGAAAGAAGGAAAGAAGGAAGGAAGGAAGGAAGGAAGGAAGGAAGGAAGGAAGGAAGAGGCTTCCATCTACTATCCCAAGTAGTTGCAATGACTGGGCTTAGTTGAAGCCTGGAGCTGGGAATTCAATCCAGGTCTCCCATGTGGATGGCAGGAGCCCAGTAGCTGAGCCATTATAGTTACCTCCCCAGGTCTGCATTAGAAGGAAGCTGGAGGGGCCGGCGCTGTAGCCTAGTAGGTAAAGCTGCCGCCTGCTGTGCGCTGGCATCCCATATGGGCACCGGTTCAAGTCCCAGCTGCCCATTTCCGATCCAGCTCTCTGCTATGGCCTGGGAAAGCAGTAGAAGATGGCCCAAGTCCTTGGGCCCCTGGACCCACATGGGAGACCCAGAAGAAGCTCCTGGCTCTTGGCTTCGGATCAGCTTAGCTCCGGCCATTGTGGCCATCTGGGGAGTGAACTCGTGGGTGGAAGTTCTCTCTCTCTCTCTGTAACTCTGCCTTTTAAACAAACAGATAAATATTAAAAAAAAAAAAAAAAAAAAGAAGGATGCTGGAGTCAGGAGCTGGAACCAGGTATTAAACCTAGTTTCTCAACCGTTTGGCTAAATGTGCACCCCTCCCCCACCATGAACATTTTGAACACCTTCTGTGTGCTTGGATTTCAACATTTTGTTTCTTTGGCAGCAAAATAAACTTATCTTTTAATTTCATTTTCCATGAATTTTTGAATATCCTTGTATTAGTGTCTGGACTTGACTAAAACTAGTCTATCTATAATCCTTCAGATGATATCTTAAAACTTTTAAAAATTATTTATTTGAGAGAGAGGGAGAGAGAGAGCAAGCAAGCTCCTATTCAACAGTGCGCTCCCCAAGTCCCCAGAATGGCCTGGAGGTTGGGGAAAAGCCAGGAACCAGGAGCTCAATCCAGGACTGCCACCAAGGTAGCAGGGACCCACCCACTTGAGCCATCACCTTCTGCCTCCCAGGGTGTGTGCTAGCAGGAAACTGGAATTGGGAGGCAGAGCTGGGAGCTGAACCCAGGCATTCTGATGTAGAAAGTGGACGTCCTGACCTGTGTCTTAACCTGCTATGCCAAGTCCCGGTCCCCAGATGGTATCTTGAATGGTTGAACATCAGATTTCAGTTCTGAGATTGCTCATATGCAAAAATAGCTCGGGATGAAATTTATTTAGATATTGTGTCAGTGTTTTATTTATCTGTTATCAATACTACCCTGATAACTTGGCAAGTAAGTATATTCATCCCCATTTTACAGATGAAGAGACTGAGGCTCAATATGCTAATCATCTACTCAAAGGTCTGCTTAAAAATCACAACAGGCGCTACAGGTGACCTGGTCCAGTTCCCCCCATTAGCCAGGGGAAGACCAGAACCCAGAGAAGGAATTGTGCTGAGTTCTTTGCAGTGCTGAACACAGAATGTAGCAAGCAGTCCTGTTGGGCACCTGTGTCGAAACGAACAGGGTTAGAAAATTCCGTTACTCTGGCTGTCCTGACCAGTGCTCTTGAGAAATGTAAATTTTGAAGTGAAATTCAAATTATGTGAGTTACACATTCCAGCGACTGGATTTTATCAGGACTTCTCATCAGACGAGTTAGGTCCAAAGAGTACAAGAAAAACAAAAACAGCAACTTAAGGAGCTCCTAAAGAGGTTGCTCTTGAAATTCTATCAGGATCTTAGGAAAACAGCACATTTGAAGTGTCAGGTGGCCTGTAAGCCCTTCGCTGATCATCAGGAGGATAACTGCTTGTTATTATTGGCCGAGTTGTTGTCATCGCTGTGTGTTTTGACTGGTTGACCCTAGTGATTGGAGGAGCGTTTTGTGAGTCATGGTTTGTTCCTTGAGTGAGTCAGCTCCTGATTTGTCAAACCCCAGAGAAGTCACTGGACCTGTTTGGTGTCCCGTTTTTCACATTTCCACACACGTATGCGCTGGAGAGATGGTTGTATGGCTCTGAAACACCATGGATTGAAGGGTGATCATAATAATCACAGGTTTTTCATTGGGAAACAGAAAACCACAATGCTCTTCTCCCCTGTTTCCTGGGTGGTCTATTTCTGCCAGACAAGCTGTCATTTTCGGGCAGAAAGCTAATGTCCATGTAGGTATTCTGCATCCTGCTGTGTACCTGGTGACTGGGGCATGTGAGTTCATAGTCGATGTGGGATTGAGTTTCTAAGTTGTTGCCTGGCATCGTGACCCACGAACTACAAAACATTTTATTGCTTCTCTCAGATGATTCAATAGAAATAAAAAGAAAACGAGCCCATGATTTCTGTTAAACAACAGTACATTCATTGCAGGAAACAGAAGGTAGTTTAAAAAGAAGTACAGAATGTTCACCTTCTTTCTCGTTCTGCCTGCAGCCTGAGAAATTCAGTCCCTTAAGGGACATAGTATTTTCAGCTGGGATTCACTGTTGACAGTGATTTAAGGAATAACTTAATCTTTTCAACATCTGCTTTGATAAAAGTGGTATTCCATAAAAACCTTTGCTGAATGTCTTCACATGGTGTATTTCTTGAAGACATGCTCATGACTTAGATTTTGTTCCCCTCTTCTTTTACATCAACTAAGTGAAAGGAATGCTTATCTTGGCTTCTGGTTTTGACCATTTTACAGGTGGGGAAATTTATTATAGAATATCATTAACTCATTATCTAAACAGGGAAACGTTCCACACTTGCTGTGTTCTTGGCAGTTTTCTAAAGCAGCTTTGAGACCAGGAAGAGGAACACTTACCTTACGGAGTTTATAGGCCATAAGAGGAGAGAGAGAGAGAGAGAGGGAGGGAGACTCATATACCTCAAAGTATGTGCCATGTGCAGGGAGAGATATCGACAGGGAATTATTAGGATACCTCTGGGAATAAAGCCAACCTAGAATAGTCAGAGGAAGCTTCCCAGGGTTAGTCTTGAGCTAGGTCTTTTTTTTATTTTTAATTTTTCGACAGGCAGAGTGGACAGTGAGAGAGAGAGACAGAGAGAAAGGTCTTCCTTTTGCTGTTGGTTCACCCTCCAATGGCCGCCACGGCCAGTGTGCTGTAGCTGGCGCATCGTGCTGATCTGAAGCCAGGAGCCAGGTGCTTCTCCTGGTCTCCCATGCACTTGGGCCATCCTCCACTGCACTCCCTGGCCACAGCAGAGAGCTGGACTGGAAGAGGGGCAACCGGGACAGAATCCGGTGCCCCGACCAGGACTAGAACCCGGTGTGCCGGCCCTGAAGGCAGAGGATTAGCCTATTGAGCCATGGCGCCGGCCATTTAGCTAGACCTTAAAGGATCAGGCAAATAGTGGTCAGGATGGGAGTGGGTGGGCATTGCAGGTAGAGCTGGTAGCAGGAACAATGGCACAGAGACTGGGAACAGCCAGGGGTGTGGTGAATGGTAGAATTTGAGGTGGGGGTTGAGGGCAGCTGGTGTTGGGGAGGCAGGTAAGGGTGAGGTTGCGGAGGGCTCTGGGTGCTTCATTCGAAGGCTCTGGCCTTATGTAAAGGGGTGGGGTCACAGAAGAGGTTGAAGCCTGGGAATACAGTTGTCCCACGTTATCCATGGTGGGAATCTTCCGAGACTCCGGTGAATGCCTGAAACTGAAGAAAGTACCAAACCCCAAATAGACTGTTTTTCCCCATACACACATACCTATGATAAAGTTAAATTTATAATTTAGGCGCAGTAAGAAACTAACCACAGTAACTAATAGTAAAATAGAACAATCGTAACAATGTATGCTAATAAAAGTTATGTGAATGTGGTCTCTCTCAAGATACTTTATTACAGCAAGTGTTCCTGTGGTGCTCTGACATGACAATGCCTATGAGATGCAGTGAGGTGGGCTGATGTCAGTACGGTGTGGCAGTGTGGGGCTGTGAGTGACCTCACCTGAACACAAGACCTGCGGTACTGCTACAGCCTGTGTGCTAAGTGTGATGGCAGTCAAGTGACTGGCTAGTGGGCAGTGTGTACAGTGAGGATGAACTGGACAAAGAGGTAGCTCCTTTCCTGGGCAAGGTTCGAGACAGTGAAAGATTTCATTATGTTAAGCAGGACGGTTTGCAACTTAACACTTACAAGTTACTTATTTCTGGAATTTTCTGTTTACTCTTTTTGGACCATGGTTGATCTCAGGTCACCGAAATCATAGACAGCAAAACTGTAGGTAAAGGCGACACTACTGTTCCCATAGGCAGGCAGTGCTGCAGGTAGAAATCTACTGGGGTGGAGGGCGGGACATGAGACACACATGGCAGGGGCCAGGGACAAGCTGGGAGGCTGTTGGTGTTTTTAGGCAGCCATTGGTGAACACGACAGCCATGGAAAGCTGGGATAGAGGAGAAATGTTTAGGAGACCAGCACTGCACAACTCGGTGATTGGTTAGACACCAGGGGTGAGGAAAGGGAAACCAAGAAGAGCTTTCAGTATTTTGGGGTAGACAGAGGAAGGTGGAAGGTGGGGGGCTAGATTCCCATTGACCTGAGTGAGGCCTCCCTTTCACTAGTATTAGGGCCAACGACAGAACAAATGCTATGCTTCCTCTGCCCCCGGGGAAGATGGCCTGTGCTGCTGGAAGGATTCTTCCGAATTGCCCGGGCCTGCCCAGAGGAAGTGGCAGGAGCTGGACTTGGCGTAGCGTTCACCAGGGATCTTCCCTCGTTGCCCTCGGCTATCTGACCCCTCTCAGATAAGATGGTTTTTCCCTGCCAGAGCTTGCAACATGCTGAAATACAGTCGTCCACATGCCTCATCTTCAAATGCCCTGAAAATGTCATCTCTCTCTCTCTCTCTCTCTCCTATCTCTCTCTCTCTCTCTATTTTGTATCTCTCCTATTGTGCTATCTCTCCCTGCAGATAAGTGACACTTTCTTTTAAAAAAGTAAGCAAAGAGTGAAATCACCTAAAGTCAAAAGGTAAATGAGTGTATGGTGAAATTTTGTCTTTTATTACTGTTTTTCACTGCCTGGGTAGGACCCTTTCTGCCAGCCCCTCATTGAGGAGGTGCCTCCTTGTGTGTGTGGTGTTGGTGGAAGGTCATGCTCACTTCCAAATCCAGGACCTAGAGAGACCAGATCTGACTTCTGGCCATGGTCCAGCCAGGGACAGGCACGTGACATAGCTTGGACTGGCTCCACACTCTGTTGGGGGAGGAATGGAAGGAGGTTGATGGTTCCGTGTTGGGTGCTTTCCTGCAAGCTGACCACACGTGCTTCCTGCTGCAGTAGCTTTGCTGTAGTCCTCACTGCCTGGGCCTCTGGGGCTCTCTCGGTTCTCATCTGTTTGCCAAGCCTGTTTCTGCAGCCATTTGTTTTTGTATTTGTTATTTATTTGAAAGCCAGAATCACAGAGAGGGGAGGTGGGAGGGAGACAGACAGGCAGACAGACAGAAAGGTCTTCCATCCATTGGTCCACTCCCAGATGGCTGCAATGGCTAGAGCTGAGCTGGTCTGAAGCCAGGAACCAGGAGCTTCTTCCGGGTCTCCCACATGCAGGGGCCCAAGCACTTGGGCCACCTTCCATTTTCTTCCCAGGAACATGAGCAGGAAGCTGGATTGAAAGTGGAGCAGCCAGGACTTAATTGGTGCCCATATAGGATGCTGGCATCACAGGCAGTGGGCTAACCGCCTACACCACAGCACCGTCCCCTGCAGCCATTTGTTGATACCGTGGATCCTGACAGTCTTTCAGTAAGAACTTTGCGTTTGCAGTGGGCGTCCGGTGCTGTGGTTACAACACCATGTGGGATGCCCACATCCCTCATCAGGGTGCTTGGTTCAAGTCCCACCTCTGCTTCCGTTTCTAGCTTTCTGCTAACGTGTACCATAGGAGGCAGCAGGTGATGGTTTAAGTACTTGGGTCCCTACCCCTACATGGGAGACCTGAAACTGAGTTCCTGGATCCTGGCTTCAGCCTGGCCCAGTTGCAGCAGTTGCAGGCACTTGGAGAGTGAACCAATGGATGAAAAAGTCTGTCTGTCTGTCTCTCTCTCTCTCTCTCTCTGCCTTAAAAAAAAGTTTGTGCTTACCAGAGCCAAGCTTTATTTCTGTTACTTGCAAATAATAATCTTGGCTGGGCAGAACGTCCACATAGGGAAGGGATTCTGGGACTGGGACACTCCCAAACACTTACTTTCTCCTTCACCTGTTGCTCCCCAAGCCCTTCCATCATATGTGCTTATGTGTGTACTGGGGCCAAGGGCTGATCTAGACCAGAGAGAATGATTTCTAAGTACTAGGACTGACGTACCAAAAGAAATCATCTGCTGGGGGCCAGCAGTGTGGCTTAGTGAATAAAGCTGCCACCTATAGTGCTGGTTCGAGACCCAGCTGCTCCATTTCCGATCCACTGCTCTGCTATGGCCTGGGAAAGCAAAAGAAGATAGCCCAAGTGCGTGGGCCCCTGCCCCCATGCGGGAGACCTGGAAGAAGCTCCTGGCTCCTGGCTTCAGCTTGGCCCAGCTCCAGCTGTTGCGGCCACTTGGGGAGTGAACCAGCAGATGGAAGACCTCTCTTTTTCTTTCTCTGCCTCTGCCTCTCTCTAACTCTGCCTTTCAAATAAATAAATAAATCTTTAAAACAAAGAAATCATCTGCTAAGAAAACTGGACTCAAGCCCACTTAAGGGATTACTGCGTTGCCTCAAACTGACAGATTTAAACATACTGAGTTGAAGAAGAACGTTGTCTCTGGGTGAGGGTTAAAGATGAAGAACTGAAAAGCATAGAGCTGTAGAATTTGCTTCTACACCCTTGGCAGGAACATCATCAGAGCAGCAAGGCTGAGCCAGAGCAAGGGATCTGGTGATATTTTACAGTTTTGCGTAAGGCACCTGCTTTGTTATAAGTAGTTCCTAAAACTGATGCTTCCGATGTGGGGCTTAGCTTGAGGGCAGGAGGAAGGCAGTAACAGTTCCTGTGAGCGCCTATTGTGTGACTGAGCTTCCATCTACATTTGATATGGGCCTGAGAATCATCATTTTTTTAATTCCAGGTCCTTGACCCCATAGAGAGAAGGATTCCAAGTGCAGGCATCCATATGTGTATGGCACACATGAGAGCAGGATTTGCTTAACAGGGAGGGAATAAACAAACATTCATGCATGGGTGTGGGCTGCCTCCTGGAGAAATACCCATCAGGAGGGGGCCAGAGCTTGCCCTTGAAAGAGAAAAAGAGAGAGGTACCGTCCAGTGTGATCCATGGAGAGAGACCGCTCCCTCGTTCTCAGCCTCTTTTTATGAGTTAGGAGCTGGCACCTTAATTGGATAAACAGATAGGGTGAGGTCTTAACACGTGTCCTGGTCCCAGCTGCGACACAGGTGCATCCTGGGAAGAAGAGCATATTAAGCCGATAGTTAAAGACATACAGTTTCGTTGCGGGGCTGTACGAACTCCAGCTTGCTTAGACTTAACTGGCTGCCTAGTTACACCAAGTCACATTGATTTGTTTAATTCACCCCGCAAACCCTCTTTTATTCACAAGGAAACCGCAGACTGGAGACTCGCACAGAAGCAGAGTTTGCGACGGCAGAGCTGGGACTTGCGCCCTTCCTACGGTACTGTCATACCTTCCGAAGGTGGCAGGAGAGAGGCAGGGGTGGGGAAGGACCCACAGAGAGACATTAGGACATAGGTAGACCACGCAGGCCCTTCTCTGCCCCTCACCTCCCCCTCAATCTGTCTTTGGTCTCTCTCTGGGCCTAGAGAAGCTGAGCCCCACAGCCAGCCTCCCCTGGGCACCTTGCCCTCTGCTTTCCACTGGTGTCTGGCCAGCGAAGGTCCCTGACAGACGGCCAGAGGCTGGGAGGAGAGAGACAGGGTATTTCTCCCCCCTTCCCTATTGGTGTCGGTGCCATTGGCCTAGCTCTTCTCGCACCGAGTTCCTGCCAGGCAGGCCCTGCTTGGGCTCTGCCTCCCGTGAGAGTGCTTTCCTCCCCTTGAGACCCCGAGGTAGCAACAGCTTCCTGCCCTGCCAGTCTTTGGTAGGTTCTCTTAGCCCCACCCATGCTTCTGTAACGGATCCTGTTATGAAAACCTGCTAACTTGGGACCAGCGTCAAGCCGCAGCCTGCAACGCTGGCATCCTATATGGGCGCTGCTTCGTGTCCTAGCTGCTCCACTTCCAATCCAGGTTCCAGCTAACAGCCTGGGAAAAGCAGCAGGAGATGGCTTGAGTGCTTGGGCCCCTGAGACCTGGAAGAAGCTCCTGGTTTCGGCCTGACCCAGCCTTGTCTGTTGCAGCCATCTGGGGAGTGAACCAGTGGGTGGAAGATCTCTCTCTCTCTCTGTAACTCTGACTTTCAAATATATAAATAAATCTAAACACACACACACACACACACACAAAACCCTCTTAACTTAAACCACCTTGAGCCTACCTTTATAACCTGCAGGGACTGTGTATGATACAAATTGTATTCTATTTTATTGAAACTGTCTTCCTTTGCTTAAAGTATCTGTAGTGCTTTTCCGAAAAATCAAGAGCCCCTGAGATATTTAAAGCAATGTGAGCTATGAGCATCTGACTCACATGCAGCTTTCCAGGAGGCAGGCAACCAGGACCAAGATAAAACGAGGGGAACGGGTTATGTAAAAGTCTACTTCACTTAAGAAACTCAGGCAAATGTTCTTTCCGCCTAGCACTCTTAGGGCAACAGTGTCTCTGTTGTAAATGAGAAATTGATTTCTGTAGACATGCGCAGAATTGAGCTATTACTCTCCCTTTTTCAGTTGATGTCATCAAAATATGATCCCCTGGGATTTGCAGTAGCCCAGCATTCATTTATTCCTTCTCCGGCGTTTTGTTTGGTGCTTACCAAGTGCCTCACACCATCCCCTGCCATTGGGGAAACCAAGAGAAATGAGCTGTGGCCCTGGCCAACAGGCATAACCTGGGCACAGTGTGAGGCCTGGATGAGGCTCTCAGCTGTCACAGATAAGCTGTGTGACCGTGGGCAAGTTCAACGTTCTGCTCCTCTGGACTCTTGGGTAAACATAATACTAACTTCCATTCTTTCAACAAGTGCTTGATGAATGCTTGCTATGTCTCATAACTAGGCCTTGGAGATCTACGACTGGAGGGAGGGCCCAGCGTCGTGGTGTAGTGGGTAAAGTTGCAGCCTGCAGTGCTAGAATCCTATATGGGCAGCGGTTTGTGTCCTGGCTGCTTCATTTCGGATCCAGCTCCCTGGTAATGTGTCTGGGAAAGCAGTGGAGGATGGCCCAAGTGCTTGGGCCCCTGCCACCCATGTGGGAAACACAGATGAAGCTCCTGGCTCCTGTCTTTGGCCTGGCTCAGGCCTGGCCTTTGCAGCCTCCTTTGCAGTTGTGAGAACCGATTCCCCAGATGCTGAGTGACTTGCCTGAGGTTTTCAGGTCTCGGCAGGAGCCACGGCACATTTAGATGGAGCGACTGAGCAGGGCTTAGCAACAGAATGGCTGACCATGGAAAGGGCGAGGTAAGGGATATGGCCCAAGATGGTGGGGACACCCCAGGGCTAGCTCTGGGAAGGGGTGTTACCATGCCCGGACCTAACCATCCTGGGGAAGTGGAGGGAGCAAGTCCCTGGAGAGAGGGGCTGTGGCGGTAGGAAAGGGCCTTCAGGTTGGAGCCATGACCTTGGTAGAAAGATGTGACCAAGTCCCAGTGATCTGAGAGAAAGCAGCCAGGGGGAGTAAATGTCCTGCCCTTTGGTCTCTTGCCAGTGCCTCCACTGATCAAACCCAACCGGAAGCTGGATGTCAAATGAACCCATTGATGCAGCCCACATGGGTCAGTCTCCAGGGCACAGATGAAGGCAGGAGAGGAGGATACCCGACACAGCCGGTAAGGAACCACGAGCAGATTCCGGTCCCCAGTGTTTCTTGATTCAGGTCCCTTGTCTTTTTTTTTTTTTTTTTTTTTTTTTGACAGGCAGAGTGGACAGTGAGAGAGAGACAGACAGAAAGAAAGGTCTTCCTTTGCCGTTGGTTCACCCTCCAATGGCTGCCGCGGCCGGCACACTGTGGCCGGTGCACCGCGCTGATCCGAAGGCAGGAGACATGTACTTCTCCTCGTCTCCCATGGGGTGCAGGGCCCAGGGACTTGGGCCATCCTCCACTACACTCCCTGGCCACAGCAGAGAGCTGGCCTGGAAGAGGGGCAACCGGGACAGAATCCCAGAATCCGGCGCCCCGACCGGGACTAGAACCCGGTGTGCCGACGCCACTAGGCGAGGATTAGCCTATTGAGCCATGGCGCTGGCCTCCTTGTCTTTTCTGCTGCCCCGTGTTAAAGCAGCAGCCCTTCAGCATGCACGCATGTGCACCTTGTAACTGCCTGGGGATGACATGAGAAGTCAGGAGAATTGAACAGCGTGGTCTGGGGCGTGGACATGTGTTATTTTTGACCACTCTGACATCCATTTCCCCCTCCCTGGATAGTTCACTCATGTGCCTTCAGTGGGGCTGCACCCCACAAAGTGAACTTGGGGTCCAGGCGACACTGGCCAGGCAAAAACTAACCCTGAATTTTACAGATGTCACCATTTCCTAGTGGCAAGCACACAGGGCTCCCTCCTAGAAGGTGCACCGTGGGGTTTTAGGCTGGTCCCTGGGTTTTGGAGAACTGCTTCTTGAGACACATTTGGCTTTGTGCTGATGGAATTCTGCCTGTGCAGGGTGGCGTCCCATTGAAACCTTCACAGGGTTATTTTATGTGGTTGCAAAAAAGTGTCTTTGCCAAGCTGCATCCTCTAGTATGACATCTAGGCTCTAGGACTGATTTTTTATTGGGCCATCAGTGCCATCTTGTTACATGATTACTTATGTGTGTGTATGTGACATGACTCCAGACATCACACAGGCATCCAATGATGGTGATGGAATAGTGACTGGTGTGAGGGCTAACCTTGCAGCCACTGGAGACATCTTGCCTCCCCAAGGAGGGAAACTGCCAGAGAATGGAGCTAACCCTTGGGGCAGCACAGCTGGCGATATCGGCTCAGGTGACCAGCTCATGCTGGATTGCTTGGGACTGTTCTGATTTTAGAACTTGAAGTCCCACATCCTAGGAAGCCCCTCGGTCCTGGGCAGGCTGGGACTTGGTAACTCCAACTAGACACACCAATTAGTGTGTCCTCAAGGCATTTTCCGAGCCTCACATCCAGTCCTGCCTGATGATCTTTCACTGATTTCTGTTCTTTGAACCAAATGGGCCCTGACTGGCCCAGAAGTGGGCAGTTGAGGGGACAGGAACATCTGTACAGCTTTGACCCCATCAAGTAAAACCTTCTGGAAAGTTCTTCTTGATTTTTCCAAGCTTGAAGATGAGCGTGGGGATACTTTTTACGCTCTCACCTAGCCCAGTGAAGTCTATGTATTTGTCTCAGCCCAGTCTCCAACCTTCCCCTCCCCTTTTGCCATTAAAGAAAAAAAAAAAAAATCCCACCGTGCAGAGTGTTCCAAGAAGCAAGCTAAACTGAGCTGATCGTATCATCCCTAGCACAGTTTTACCTAGATGAAACCCAGGCCTGTTCAAATGTCTCCCTGAGGTTTGATGTGGGAGGCGGGCTGGGACACTAGGCATGAAGCGGTTTTTACTGTGCTTGGGATACTGAACAGTGGGAGAGGCTTCAAGAACCAGGCAGTTGTTGTTGTTACAGGGACGGCCGTCAGGCTGAGCTTCCGCAGATCCGCCTGAGGCAAGGGGTTTCCCCAGTGCCAGCTCTCCACAGCAGAAGGGAACCCGGGCTGGGACTCAGGATCCCTGGGTCTGAGAACAATTATCTCATATCTACCTAGTTGTTCAGAATTGATGATGCTTTTTTTTTTTTTAAACTTTGTGCATTACACGTATTTTCTATAAGTTGACTCAGAATTGTACACGTTGCTGGGGTACAGTGTGAGAGCTGGAGACAGGTTCACCCCGTGTAATGATCAAACCTGGGTGATTGGCATTGCCACCTCCTTCCACACTGAGCCTGGCTTTGTTCTGGGAACCTTCCAATTCCTCTCGCCTAGCTCTTTTTAAAACGGGGTGAGTTTTAACATCTATTTTCTGGGGGAAGGCATTCCCTCTACCTGCAGCAGCCTCCATCAGACGCTATTCTGGCTAACTCTCCAAGGTCTGATTGCAAATGTCTTTGGGGAGAGTTTCCTGGTACCCCTAGGACAGACGGACTTGGTTTCTGTAGCAGTCATGGCAAATCAAGATAGACATTGGTTCATAATATTTCATCCTCCCTGTTTTGGCGAAAACCCGACATTTCCTTTGAGAGAACAGCCCCTCCCCCACCCCCCTTTCCATTTGATCCTGGTGGGGCTGTCATCAAAGAAGCCTTCTTCTTCCCCACTGTGGTTGCCAGGTAACGAGGCTGAGCCAATCATAGTCCCTACCCTCGGGCACAGTGATTGGTCTGTAAGTGGGCATGTGACCTCACAGGGCCAGTCAGGGGCTTCTCTGGAATTGACCTAGAGAGAGGGCGAGAGGAGATCTTTCTGATGGAGCTGCTCACCGAGAGCATGCGCCCAGGGGTTGCCAGAGACTGTTTTCCTAGGAGCATTAGCAGAGGGAGTAGGCGGGACATAAAGTCAAGCAGTGAGAGCTCTCTTTTTTTTTAATAGAAAGCTTTTATTTAATAAATATAAATTTCATAAGTATAACTTTTGTATTATAGCGGCTCTTCCCCCCATACCTGCCCTCCTACCCCCAAACCATCCCACCTCCTACTCCCTTTCCCACCCCATTCTTAATTAACATTAATTTTAAATTATCTTTATATACAGAAGATCAATTCTATACAAAGTAAGGATTTAAACAGTTTGCACCCACACAGAAACACAAAGTATAAAGTACTGTTTGAATACTAGTTATACCGTTAATTCACATAGTACAACACATTAAGGACAGAGATCCTACATGGGGAGCAAGTGCACGGTGACTCCTGTTGTTGATTTAACAACTGAAAGAGAGCTCTTTTTTGACACATCCATCTACCCTACAATTCACCTTTGAAGATGTACAGTGCAGTGGTCCTTAATAGGTTCACAGGTTGTGAAACCATCACCACTATCTACTTCTAGAACATTTCCATCACATTGAAAGGAGCCTGTAATCCTTAGGAATCACGCCCCATTCCCTCCTCCCACAGCCCCTGAGAATCACTAATCTCTGTTTCTATGGCTTTGCCTATTCTGTACATTTCATACAAATTAATCATGCAACACATGGCCTTTTGTGCCGTTTTCTTGCATATAACACAGTGTTTTCTTTTTTTAAAACATTTTTATTTATTTGAGAGAGAGAGATAGAGAGCGAGAGAGAGGTCTTTCATCGCTGGTTCACTTCCAAAGTGGTTTCAACAGCTGGAGCTGGGCTGATCCAAAGCCAGGAGCCAGAGATTTTCTAGGGTCTCCTAGGTGGGTGCAGTGGCCCAAGCACTTGGGCCATCTTCTACTGCTTTCCCATAATCAGGGAGCTGGATAGGAAGAGGAGCAGCAGGAACTCAAACAAGCATCCATATGGGATGCGGTGCAGCAGGCAAAGGCTTAGCCTACTACACCACAGTATAACACAGTGTTTTCAAGATTGATTCATATTGTGGTATGTGTCAGGACTTCACTTCTTATGGTTGACCATTCTATATGAATATATTACACTTAGTTTCTCCACTCATTAGTTGATGGGCATTGGCTAAATACTGTTGCTATGAATTAAAAAAAATTATTTTATTCATCTGAAAGAAGTACAGAGAGGGGTAGAGACAGGAAGAGAGAGACGTCTTCCTTCTGCTGGTTCATTCCCCAGATGGCCTCAATGGCCAGAGCTGAGCTAATCCAATGCCAGGAGCCAGGAGTCTCCTCCAGGTCTCCATGTGGGTGCAGGAGCCCAAGCACTTGGGCCATCCTCTGCTGCTTTCCCAGATGCATTAGCAGGGAAATGGATCAGAAATGGAGTAGCTGGGATTTGAATCAGCACCCACATGCGATGCTGGTGATACAGGCTGGGGCTTTAACATGCTGCACCTCAGTGCAGGCCCCTTGCTATGAATTTTTTTTTTTTTGATAGACAGAGTGGAGAGTGAGAGAGACAGAGAGAAAGGTCTTCCTTTTTGCTGTTGGTTCACCCCCCAATGGCCGCTGCGGCTGGCGCATTGCACTGATCCGAAGCCAGGAGCCAGGTGCTTCTCCTGGTCTCCCATGGGGTGCAGGGCCCAAGGACCTGGGCCATCCTCCACTGCACTCCCAGGCCATAGCAGAGAGCTGGCCTGGAAGAGGGGCAACCGGGACAGAATCCGGTGCCCCAACCGGGACTAGAACCCGGGGTGCCGGCGCCACAAGGCGGAGGATTAGCCTATTGAGCCACGGCGCCGGCCCCTTGCTATGAATTCTTAACAGACCTTTATACAGTTACGGTAAATTAACTTCTGTGATGGTTTGTTAACATGTGTATTTCCCACCAGATTATAAATCTGTGTGTCTCAATCCTAACAGGTGTATTTAGTGAATACATATCTGCTGAGTGGGTAAATGCAAGACATAGGAGTGTGAGCCCATTTGCAGACAGGGAAGCTGAGAGAGAGGTTAATGAAGGTGGCCAAATCACATGCCTAGTGAATTCTGAGTTCCTGGTTACAAACAATAGAAACCAATTCTTATTGATTTGAGAAAAGGAAAGGTTACTGAGGAGTTCACAGAATTCTGCAAAGATCTGTGTTTAGAAAAGGAACTGGAATGAGGGAGGCAGGATGACAGCTTGGGCCAAGGCTGAGACTGTGCCTGAGAAACTACCCAGGGAGGCCACTGCTGGTATGCCCCCAGGACAGAGGACATAGCAGAGTCCTGCCC